GGAAATGCAGTAGGCTCAAATGTCACTACTGTTAATGTTGACACACTACCAGGGTTGAACACTCTTGGGGTATCAATAGTTCGCATCGACTTTGCACCATATGGTGGACTGAACCCTCCCCACATTCATCCTCGCGGTACAGAAGTCTTGGTAGTCCTAGAGGGTACTCTCTTGGTAGGCTTTGTCTCATCCAACCAGGATAACAATCGTCTCTTCACCAAAGTCTTGAACAAGGGAGATGTTTTTGTCTTCCCAATTGGCATGATTCACTTCCAACTGAATATAGGGAAAACTCCTGCTGTTGCTTTTGCTGGTCTGAGTGGCCAGAATCCTGGAGTAATTACAATCGCAAATGCTACTTTCGGATCTGATCCACCCATCAATCCGGATGTACTGACCAAGGCCTTCATGTTGGACAAGAATGTGGTTCAATATCTTCAGTCTAAGTTTTGATAGGATTATAGTTATAAAAAACTATTTACAGGATGAAGCAATTGCTTCATTTTTTTATGAATTTTTTATGTTCCATTGTGATTGAATAAAAAATCAAGTGATGCTTGATTGTTTGCTGTTATTAAATTATTCAAATAAGTTTGATGCTTTCATGTGCCTTATCTCTCAAGTTTTTTTGGGCTATTATTCTAAAATTTTCAAGAAAAGAAACAATGCTTTCCAAGTTCTTTTTGTTTCTTCCTATCAAAAAATCCTATAGTTAATTAGGATTTCTTCTCTGGCTCAGGTTTTTGGTTTGTGGCATTCTTTTGCCTCCCTTGTATTTCTTGGCCATTAAATGTTCAGCTAAGTAGCTCCGTTTAAAGTTTACTTCAATTTAATAGTAATGCTTTCTGACTTTCCACAGAGCTCTGTATAACGATGTCAAAAAGGTATATGTTGAGTCTTAAAACTACAAAAAGGTTGTCTATATAGAAGCATTTCACCTTACAAGAAGAGCTGTGACATGTAACATTGACACCTTGTGTTTAAGACCAAAACATGATTAGTCTTTTCCAAAGTAGTAGTTCTTTTAATATCCAAATTGATGCAATGCACAACCCTGCTTCATTCAAGATGAATTAATTGCCAATGAAATTTTGGTCCACTGAAATAAGATTAGGTAGGTATCTTCCAAGTCATTGCAGTCTCAAATGTAGTTATTTTAATATAAGCAACCTTCAAGCCTTTAACTCTCCACGGGTTATGTTAGCTGCTCCTGTTTGCCTAGGAGCAAGTCTTTTTGAGCAATCATTTGGAATTGATAAGAGAACATCATCTCATATTATTAATACCTATTGGCTACTACATTTAAACATAGAATAAGATAACTGGTAATGACGGAGCCAAAAATTTTATTAAGAGGGGGCAAAATCAAATTTTGACTAGAGAAAAAAAAAAAAAGATTTTGTGTGCATTACTTAAAAGGTCAATAAAAAGAAAAATTTTAATAAAATAAAATTATTTTAAAATAAAATTTGTTAGTTTTTAACGATAAACTAATATTAGTTGATAGTATAATATTACATAGGTTAAAATATTAATTTGGTCCCTTAACTTTCAAATTTATACCAAAATTATCTTTAAAGTTCAAAAAGTACTACAATTGTCCCTAAACTTTAATTTTCTGTATCAAAATAATTCTTGAACTTTAATTCAATATCAAGTTAGCCCTTAAACTTTGAAATCAAATACCAACTTAGACCTTAAACTTTGATTATAAGTACCAATGTAGTCATTTAACTTTGATTCTAAGTATCAATTTAGTTATTCAATTTTGATTATTTATCAGTCTGAAATATAATTGAAAATATACCATAATATAAATATGACTGTTTTATTTGACATGTCATCAATATTTTAAAAAAGAATTGATTTTGTAGTAAAGTAACAAGTTACGTGACACTTTTGTTAACAAAAAGATTCTTTTAGTATTAAAAATTAAAATTCAAGGATGATTTTGATACTTTTGAAGTGCAAGGACAACGTTGATATAAATTTAAAAGTTGAGAGACCCAATTGGTATTTTAACCTATCATATATATGACATCATGAACTAAACGATAAAATTAATATATATTGAATAGAGAAATACTAATAAACAAAACAACAAAACTAAAAGGGTATTAATAAACAACTATTTAAAGGATATTTTTTATCTCTCCCTACAAGCCTCAAGATTACTTAAAATTTTTAATTTGAAATCTTAAGTTTTTAAGCATTTGAGACACCTCCTAAGGGTATTTTACAAAAGGATGATAATAAATAATTTTGCATTCAACTCATCTTTATTTTTTTTTTATCATATTTCATTTTATCTTTATTTTCCTCATCTTTCTCATAATCACTAAAACTAATCTTTAAAAAAAAAAAAGGGTTGAAATTGATTAAAATGCATGAAATAAATAAGGATTGAAATAATAAAAATGTAATCTAATAAACAAAAATTTTTATTGATTAAAAGTTTAGGTGGGCTTGTGCTCTCTCAGTCGCCCCCTTATCTCCTCTCTGTTGGTATAAAGGACATATACAGCAGTAACAGAACTCTTCACACTTTCATTCAGGTTATAAGGTGAAGACAAGAGGTTATATGAATTATATTACCAATTCAGCTAACTATTGTTAATTCCAAGCAAACACAAGACCTAATCGACTCTTTTACCCACCTATTAGCCGCATACCTCAAATTTGACTTGGTAAATGACAAAAGATAGCTGACAAATTTTTAATTGAGATTAAGTAATTTTTTTAAACTAATCCCATTGAGGAATTTTATTCAGATCAACATTAATCCATATATGGAAAAATATGCTTCAAATTACTATGATTAAGTAAAAAGCAATTAATTAAACTCTAGCAATGAAAGGGTAAGTATGTGAAGAAAAATACAAAGATGACTGCCAAAGACTTTGTGCATCTTGCACCTACCGTATGAAAAAAAGAGACAAAATGATACTACGTCAACAATTACGTCTATAAATACACATGATCCCTTCAAATGTTTCTTATCCCTCACTAAGAAACATAGAAGAATTAAAGGCAGCAGAAACCTTCTAACAATGAAAAGTGCTTATTTCCTTGTAGCTTTTGCCTTCTTGGCTTTTGCTTCCTCCTTGCATCTACCTATGACCTAGCCCTCTTCAGGACTTTTGCGCAGCCATCAGCGACAACAACACCAAGAATGGAGGTATGTGCTCCTTCATGTTGCCTTTTTAAGCATTTTCCTTTTGAAAATGTACTATATTTTTCTTGGCATGGTTTTGAATTAGTCACAAATCTTTGGTGCAGTGTTTGTGAATGGCAAGTTCTGTAAAGACCCAAAGCTTGTTGTAGCAAATGACTTCTTCCTTTCAGGGCTTTACAAGCCAGGAAATGCATCAAATGCTGCTGGATCAGCTGTCACTTTGGCATTTGTTGAACAACTTTTGGGACTTAACACTCTTGGCATATCTCTTGTTCGTATTGACTTTGTGCCTAATGGTGGCCTTAACCCACCCCACACTCATCCTCGCGAAATTGAGATTCTAGTAGTCCAAGAAGTGACACTATTCATTGGCTTTGTCTCATCCAACTAGGATGATTCTCTTCCAGCTCAATATAGGGAAAACTTCGGCTGTTGCTTTTGTTGCTTTGAATAGCCAAAATCTAAGCACAATCACAATCACAGTCACAATCGCCAATTTTGTTTTTGGATCCAATCCACCAATTAATCCTAATGTTCTTACCAAGGCCTTCATGCTGGAGAAGAATATGGTGAAGTACCTCCAGTCACGGTTTTGAAGGAAAAACCTTTGTCAGAGAAAGACTTGAAATGCCATCTTTTCATAATTTATTGCCTGGATTGTCTTTGAGTGCTGTTTTTTCATTGTTTTATATGATCATTTTTGTATAATAAAGAGGATGCTTAATTCTTATATAGCTTTCTGTATACTACAATGCGAGATAGGCTTCTATTTATTCCCTTAGATGCAAAGTGCAACATTGTAGCAGTATCAAGACCAATTTATTGTACTTGAAACTCAACATTTTGGTTCTGAGAAAATATGACTGGAAAAAAATTTAGATGTTTTTGTGCCGAGTTCTATTTAAGGGCCATAAAACAATGATCAGTTAACCTGAACAAACTGTGGAAAACTTTAGGAATTATGGTGAAAGCCTGCTTTGAAACTATAAGTTTTATGTGTGAGAAGTCAAATCTCATCTCTAGCTACATTAACACTTAATATCATTTTTTTTTTTTTGAAAATTTTATACTTAAATAATCTTATACTTATTAGATATAGCTATACTTATAAGAAACTCCTCTATAGCATCAGCTCAAGTGGTACTGCACGGCTTGGAGTTGGTGTGGGTCCTTAATTAGGTATAGGTAAAGTGGTTCTAAGGTATATTCAAAAAACACTTCTAATAGGCAAAACCCCCAAATCCATAAAGTAGGGACAGATTCACCCCTCAAAAAAATGTATGGATCAATTGCTCTGACAAATTATAAATCGAGACAAATCACTTATTTTTTAACGTGTGACATCAGAATTCTGTTTATCACGTAAGCATTTTTGAATGAAAAATTGACATCACACGTTAATAAATGGATGATTTGTCTCGATTTATAATTTAAAGGCACACTTTATCCCTATATTTTTTTGAGGGGCAGATTTGTCACTGCCCCTCTATTTAAAGGGTGGATTTAGGGGTTTTACCCTTTTGATAATACTTTGGTAAGTTGTTAATTAAGCCATCCAAGTATAGCAAAGGTAAATTCTAAGGACAATAAAAGCAGTCTAATGACACTTCTGTATGCATGTCTTATCATGTTGGTGGCCGAAGTTTAGGTCTTATAATTGGTTGATCCATTTGCTAAAGAAAACAAGTTTTCAAGCTAAGAAAAAGGAAAGCATTTTGCTACAGCAGCAAATACTTTAAACTTTAAAGTCATTCAGCCACTTGCATTTTTAGGATTTTTGCTTTTTATTAATTTAAAAAAGCATTTAACTCTCAGATATGTGAAAAGAATAATAATAATCAAACTCCTCTTGTCGTCGCTGCCTCCGACGGGCAAGTATCTCAACTAGGTGTTCCTCCCTGTTTTAAGGGCCTTCGTCCTCTCTGTTTCTTGCTTTTGTCTTGGTTCCCTATTTCCTTCATGTTTCAAAATCGTATATTGGCCTAGAATTGTCGAGGCCTCGGGAAGGTCTTTGTGATTTCAAAATTAAAGAAGCTTTGTCTCAAGCACAAGCCTAGTCATCCTCTCTGAAACAAAGTGCATAGTTACTAAGATGAATCTGATTTGCATAGATCTCAGGTTTGAACATTGTTTTGCTATAGATTATGTAGGTAGGGGGTGGATTGGCTCTACATTGGACAGATGATTTTAAGCTGCAACTATCCTCCTTTTCACAGTCTCATATAGATGTTGAAATTGTTGACCCATGTGGGGGTTAACTGGGTTTTATGGCTGTCCAGAGGCTGTCCGCAGTGAGGAATCTTGGACTCTTCTAAAATCACTTAAGGCAACCTTTACTCTATCATGGTTGTGCTTGGGGGACTTTAATGAAATTTTGAGGTAATCGAAAAAGGAAGGAGGCAATCCAAGACCTTACAGACAAATGGATCCTTTTGTAGAAGCTCTAAACTATTGTGCCTTTAAGGAACTAGGTTTCAAAGGCCCTCAATTCACTTTCATAAGGAAGATACATGGAGATTTTGATTAAAGCAGTTGTGCAAGCTATTCCTACATATTGTATTGGGTGTTTCAAGCTTTTGCAAAATTTTCTCCAATCACTAAACAGCATCATAAGCAACTTTTGGTGGGGAGATAACAATGATAGAAGGGGAAAGACTGAGGCTTTTTATTAGGATCAGATTCACAAGTGGAAGTATAATATGTATTAGATCTCGTGTGAATGGTTTCTTGTGGATACCTTTTATTGCATACTTATAGATAAAGGGTATAGTTTGCAATGGAAGGAAGGTGTAATTGCAGCAAGCAGGATAACAGCATTTTGGCAATGCTTTGATCTGCCTAGACCATGGCTATAAGTTGTAGGCAGTATGACATATGGCTCTAATGCATGTTCATCTTATTGATCTCAAAGTTTCTACTGACTGATTCAGCACTTCAAGAAACAAAACACTTAAAGCACATGAAAATTGTGGCTGTAAGACACAATTTTCTTTATTTTCAAAGAAAGTTTTGTCACCTGTTCTGATGGATTTGAGATGGAAAAGAATAATAATATTACGAGCTGAAAGAGACTTTTAATAAGTTATTTTGGTCTTAATGTGTGAAAAAGTTGCTACGAAATATGTTCTTGAAGTTTTGTCTACCAATTTGTGGATTGTAGTCTGTGACTGTTTAGTTCTCTCTAATTCCTTTACCTTACCCCTCCTTTGCATTTTTCAGTTGATTGCAGTTCGTAAGATTCCTCGGGCAAAGGCAAACCTCAACTATACTGGCCAAGCACTAAAATCACAAGTGGAGGTATTTTTTAATTATATAATTGATCACTCTAGATTATCTGGTATTCATGATACATTTATTATTCATTGGGTGTTATTTTGACTACATAGAGGTGAGAGGAACATGATGATAACATTGTTTTAGAATGGAAATCATTTTCAAAATAATGGAGTCAAATGTTTTCCTTTTGAAGTTACTATAGTATGAAGTGTGAATAATGGCACTTGATCTTTATATCATGGAGTAATAAATTGTAATAATGGAACTATACTGTATCTTCTTCATGTGATACCAAGGATACAAGCCTACAATGAACTACACAAATCTTATTCGTGTCCTTGGAACTTCAAATAAATCATCTATGTGTTGCACACCCATGAGAAAGACTGAAGTTATCGAAATTTTAACATATGGCATTTTTGTTGGTTAACAGCATCAATCTCTGCTTATTTCATCACTGTTGATAAAAGCATATTGGCAAGTGCAAGGAAACATAATCAGGCCCAGTTTGAGAAAAGAGTTTGAATTCCAGATCAGTACTACTCCACACATTTTAATAATGCTATTGCATTACATTGCATGATGAAAATTTTCCGGCCTCTCAATGTGTCGATTTATTTGTTGTGCTAGGGTAAATTTCCCTGGAATAAGTAGGCGTGTAAGAATCCCCGTAGGAGAACCATGTTACTACAGCCATCAGGCATCAGTCTAGTGAAAGTTTTTCCCCATTATTTGGTGTCATATAATACTTTGTTTTTTGTGCTCTTTCAAGGACTTCTCCGCCCTCTCCTCTAAATTTTTGGTAACCAAACAAAATTTTCTCTCCTCCACTTCCCCTCCACTTCATTTCCCTCACACCAAATATACCCTTACTGTTTTACAATGGAAGGTCATTTGGGTCAGTTTCTTGCAAAATTTTGGTACATAGTTGGTTTTCTGGCTTAGGAACTAAAATGCCAGCAAATTCCAGCAAATCCCCAGGGAATGATCATACCTCAGCAATCAGCATAATAAGTCGCTAGAATAAGCCTTCGTTTGCCACGATTTACATTATATCAAGTCTAAATTAGCATCAATTGCTTCCTTTTCAACATTCGTACTGAACCAAAATTAGGATGACTTTTGTAGTCCTATCTTTCTTCTTCCTTAAACAAGCACAGCAACCCGCGGTCTCAAAATTGACCATGGATCTAGCCTACTGTATGTGGTGGGTGGGTGCACCTCAAAAGTCAAGACGCCAGGATCTGTGACTTTAGACGAGAAAAATGTAGAGGGGAAAACAGAAGACAGACTTAACCAGAGTGTGTTTAGGATACTTCTATTTATAGGATTTAGTGGATGCACGCAAGAGAGTAGTGAGTATATTTGCAAGCTTGATGATAAATTGTTAGAAATTATTTTATTCGTTAAAAAGGAAACGTCCCTGAACAAAGCATTCGGAGAATGAGACAGAAAACCACCTGTGATTCTCCTTATAATCTACGTCTCTCTCTAGCTTGCTGCTCAACTCGCTCCATTGGCTGAGTCTGTAAAGAGGCAAGAAATGATAAATAAAGAAGCACATCTTGTATTAATAAAAATTATCAATTCCGTACCAAAAAAAGTATAAGAATTTTCCAACCAAAAAAAAAAAAAAGGAGTATGAGAAAGTCCATGTATGGTTGTGATTTGAACTGTTGGACATCTAAATTATGGGTTGAAAGTATTTTCAGAGAAGACAATTATCTCCTCTTGTGTCAGCAAAGTTAATTATTCTCAGAAGAGATCAACAAAAATTGATAAAACAAGCGGCTGCGGCATCCAACATCATTCCTATACGTTGTGGCATCTCAACGGCAATCAAGATTTTCATACCTGGACCTAAAGGTCAGAATGCATATCGATAGATGGCATCAGCTACACCATCTTCATCATTGCTGACACCAATTACATCTGCCACAGCTTTTGCTTTCTCTGACCCATTACTGAGAGCAACACCAAGAGATGCCAACTGAAGCATTTCTACATCATTTTCCCCATCACCTATAGCCATCACCTGTTTCAAGAAGAGGGGATAGTTTGTGATCAGAATCGTTCAAGGAGACTCAAGACAGGCAAGTGGCATGTCATTAAAATGTTGTCATCAGACCAGAACATATATTTCATTTCTTGCACAGAGTAGGTATCTGAAAAAAGCAACTCTCAGTAACATCTTCAACAAATAGTAATTTTGTGTTCAAATGACAAAATAGGATATGGAAGAGAATTTAAAGAAGCTTAACAGAAAAACTTTTGCCATAAGAAAGTGACTAAAAAGGGAAATCAATTCCAGAGTCTTCTTACTGTCATTATGGTGGACTTTATAATTTAAAGGAGAAAGAACAAAAAGTAGATAGTATATACCTCTGTTGCACTAACACCCAAGTGATCAAGCAGCATTCTCACTCCCTTCCCCTTAGAGGTCTCAGGGGGGACAATCTCCAGAATGTCTGCCACCGCCTGGGTAATGTTGGCACGATCTCCTATTGCTTCTGTCCAATAGGGACGTAAAGTACTTTTAACGCCCTCAACAGTATCCAGAAATATCAACTTCTGCAGAACCAGAGAGGTGCATGGCAATAAGAATCATAAGCAGCATTAGTGACAGAAGATTTCACAGGTTCAGTTCTCTACTGGAAAGCAGTAGGGTACTAGGGTGGCATGGACAGGGATTGTCATCAATGGCATTTCAAACAAAACCTCCAAACCACCATCTACCCAAGAATTATGATTATGATGTTCACATAAATACATAAGTTATGAAGAAGACATTGTATCTCCATCCATACCTGTACATCAGCCTCTGCCAAGAGATGGTCAACTGACTGCATGATCTCTGCCTGAAATAGTTTTATGTAATTCATAGGCATGCATGAAGATATTCTATTGTGCAACAATCAAAGGTTACTAATTTACTATTATAATAATGGAAATGGTAAATTAAGGTATATATCACCTTTGGCTCGTGATATATAGTATACAGAGAATCAACAAGAGGGTGATGAAATAGCGTTAAGCAACGATCCTCACAGAATGCGACAAGAGGAACATTATGCTTGCAAGAGTAAAGAAATGCCTGCAATTCTGAATTAGTCAGTTTTTCAAACAGGTAATAATTTATAACAGTAAATTAAGAAAAAGAAAAAGGAATCTTCATGTCTCTTTGAGGCCATCTTTTCCAATCTTCTGTCAAAAGGCATCAAACCGGCAGATATAACAGAATAACAGCAAAGCATATTTCACTTGAAAATGCTTCTAATTTTTCTTAAAAAAGACTCAAATCATTCTGTATTTTTAATAATTTAAAAACTAAAATCTAAAGGATATTAAAAGTTCAAGGAATTTTCCTGAGAAAGGATGAGAGGCACAAGCAGCGATATTTGTTAAAGGAATGGAACTAAATAGCCCCATCTTTGCAACTTGCATGGCTAGTAAGCCCATAGCTTAAACAAATTAGTATACCACTTTGAAAAAAAAATACAGTTTGTAGCAGCAGAAGCCAGAACCAAGTGTGGCAGCTGCCCGTGACTGGTATCAAATTATAATCAAACTGAAAAAAAGGCAGACAAATGGCCTACAGTTAAAAGGCAAGCACAACTTGCCAAGGTGCTATGATGAACAAAAAAAAATACCTCTCTGCAGATATCTGCATCTAAATTCCTTCTAAAAAGTTCACGACCCTCTCTACCATAAACGAGCAATCCCTGTGCCCAAGAAAAAGGAAAAAAAAAAGAACAAAAGGAAGGCTCAACATGAGGTAATAAAACACAGAACTAGAGACTGAAAAATGAAAGATTTGCAAGATGCTAAAGATAGGCAGAATTGTTATGCTTCCCACTCTATCCTTGACAGAGCATGTGAACTAGTAGAATCATTGAAGTTCAGTTCACGCCATAAGCTTCATCTACAATTCTTTGGGTAAATACTTATCTCCATCATAATAATTCAGCCAACTAGAAGCATTTCAAGCTTTCCTCTAAATTATCTCATTTTCATTTAATCTTGTTAGAACTAACCCAATTTCTAGTATTGGCCAAAGATGAAACTGGAAAGAGACTAAGATAGAGCTAGATTGGTAATATGCTTCGTTATCATGTTATAAGGAAGATCAAATTTTAAGATGTTACAGCAGTTTGCATTACAGGAAGGATATTTCAGTCATGGATTTTCCAACCTGTGCATGGAAAACCAAAAAAGTGAATATTAATTTTAGAATTATTGCCACATGTATTAATTTAATTGGTTAGTTGTTAAAATTAAAGTCAAACTTTATTTTTTCTATGTAACCTAATGACTAAAAAGGTATATAAAATGCATGCTTAACTTGTGCCCTTAGGGCACACATTAGAAAACCCTTGAAGTATAACAAATGTTATAAAGAAAAATGAAATACAAATATGGATGGTCATCATTCAGGCAGAAGAATGCTTGTTTGGTCTATAACAGTCCAATGAACGTAAATCTGAGATGTCTTCCATCAGATAACAGACAGGAAGAATAATAATGGATTCCTGGTCTAATTTTTGTCAAACCTGATTCTGAATGGTAATCTGACACATCTCCAGGATGAGCATAAAACTTACTTTTGAACAAGTAAACTATGCAAGATTCAATTGAAAGTTGAAACGGATGGAAATGCTAAATGGCTGACAACTGCAAGGAAGGGAAAAGGAAAAAAAAAAAAAAAACCTGTATAAAAACTCCAGGAGAGTGCTCTGAAAGAATGCCATCTCTGCCAGCCAAACCAACTTCATCTAGAACTTGTATTGCAGCAGGACGGGTCTGTTCTCAAATATCAAAGCAGCAAGTGGTAATCAGGACCTTTTATCAAGCAAGCAAAGACCTTTAACTAAAATAAATGATGCTGCATCATCTTAAGTAAGAATGCTGACTAACAATGAAATCAATGGAAATAAGTATTAACAGCATTTCTAACATGCCAAAACAAGGCATGGTATGGCTATCCATTAATAAGACTACAAGAGTGAGACTGTCTGAGTTGCTAATGAAATGCATTGTTTTCCCCCACTATTCTTACCTTTCCAGTGGCTGCAACAATTTTAATGCCCCTTGATAATGCTTCCTTCAAAGCACTAGCATTTCCTTGGCTAATTTGACTTTTGCTGTTTAGCATTGTACCTTGCATTAAATATCAAAACTATCAGCAACTATCTCTTAAACTAAGGGAACATTTACACACTTGGTGTAATCTCACCATCCATATCGCAGAAGATATATTTGAACTTTGGTTTATAGAATCGGAGACTGCCTTCTTTCTTCCTGTCTTTAGGACATTGTATGTAAGAATATCTCAGTCAAAACTGATATATAGCATTATGCAACTCACAAATGACAAAAGAATACATGCATTATTAGATAATATCGGTAGGGAAAGAAGATCTTGAAGGTAAAAAGATAGATTGTGATATTACCAACTGAATTGTCTGTATGAAGATCTGCATTAGCTTCTGCTTCACATGCACTCCTGATCAATCCTTTTCCCTTCCACCCAAGACTTTTCAAGAGCAATTCCTCTACCTTTTCCATTTCTTCTTCAGCTTCTTCACTAAGTTCATGACCAAAACCCAACAGAGGTAGCAATCCACGAACCTGCATTGTTGGATGCAATAAGTTCTTAGAAGCTACATAAAGTAGAAAGACTGCTTTACGGCCAATGCTTTCTTCTTTAGTTTCATTGCATCACACCATCTAGAGGTTAGTTGTAGAAACTCCCGTGGATCTTCCT